ATGATGTGTTTGTGTGTTTTCCTGCATATGTGTTTAGGCTTCACATATGTGCGGTACCTGCAGAGGCCAGGAAAAGACACTGGATCCCCTGGAACTGGAGTTCCGGTAGCTGTGAGCCTCGTGTGGCCTTGGCCCTCTGAAAGAGCAGTTCTTTACACAGAGGCGCTAGGACTCGACTGATGGCGTAGTGGTTTGAAGAGCACACATTGCTCTCTCAGAGGACCTGGGTTAGGGTCCCAGCATCCATGGCAAGTGGCTCAAAACTGTCTGTCACCCCAGCTCCAGAGCATCTGATGGCCCCTTCTGGCACTGTGTTCATACATGCACAGAACTCACTGGGCACCTTGTTACATAGCTCAGGCTGTCCTGGGACTGTCCTCTTCCTCCCCAACGCGGAGATTACAGTGTGGGCCACCATACCCGCACACATTCACTTGGGAAACAAACAGAAGAACATAAATCGTCCAGTCTCGGTTGAGATTTTTATAAAGTGAAAAAACCCACGTAACAAAAGAGAGCATGGCAGCCTCTCAAAACACCCCTCTTGTACCCTTCTAGATTTCTCTCCCCTGGTATTGGTTGTCATGTGTCTTGGGGCACCTGGTTTTACTTGCACCTTCTCATGGTTGGCATCTAAAAGCTACCATCATTTCTAACACTCAAATCAATTAGTGAAAAACCACATTGGTTAAATAGAAGAAATGCTGGTTTGGAGCATGTGGGCTGAAGGGGAAGCTCCTCAGATCAGAGGCAGCTTGTTAAGGGTTTGGTCTTTCTGGGTAAATAGCTTACTTTCTGTCTGTACTTGAAAGTTCCTTGTGAAGGTGATAGTTTCCTTGGTTGTTCAGTTTGTGCTGTGGGGGATGGGATGGGCAGTGGGCGTGAGAACATCTTCTTTCTCCTTGCCCCCTTTGGTGTTGTTTCTGAGACAGAGTCTTAGGTGACCCAGGCTGGTCTCCAGCACTTGTCAGATAGCGAAGGACGATCTTGAAGGTCTGCTTCCACCTCCCTAGCTGAATTTCTTATGGTGTCTTCTGTTTTTGCTTTAGGTAAAATGTCGGCTCCAGGACCTTACCAGGCGACCGCAGGCCCTTCTGCAATGCCCACCGCACCCCCATCCTATGAAGAGACAGTGGGTGTCAACAGTTACTACCCAACACCCCCAGCACCTATGCCGGGGCCAGCCACAGGACTCATTACAGGCCCAGACGGGAAGGGCATGAGTCCACCTTCGTACTACACCCAGCCTTTGCCCGTTCCCAATGCCAATGCAAGTATGTATGTCACCCAAGTCACCAAACCTGTGGACCCTGAGGTAGAGGACAACAGCAAGGTGTTAAAGTGTCAAAGCCAAGTGACAAGCACTGTGACGTCCACCCCACCCTGGGTCTCTCATAGGATATTTCAGACATCCCGTTATTGAGACCTGTGATAAATCTATTTAGTGGCTGGCAAGATGGCACTATGGGTAAAGATGCTTGCTGCTATGCCTGAGTTTTCTCCCCAAACGAAAGAACCAGCTCCCCAAAGTTATCCTTTGATCCCTACATGCATGCACATGTGTGTACATACATGTGCACAGACATTAATAGTGAATGTAATCAAAACAAACAACAACCAAAACCAGCAAAATACATAGGAGCCTCCACATGCCTGCTGGGTTCATAGCAGTTGCCACTGCCCTTACCCGAGAGAACTTGGGAGTGGGAGTTTTTGAGTTCAGAGCCAAGGGCGAATAGAGCACTCCTGTCCTGAGGCCAACTGGTGTGGGCACAGTGCTGAGTGAGCAAAGGGAGGCCAAGCTGCTGCCCCTCTGTGGGGGCAGGGTCTCGCCTGGACCCTTGGACAGCTTCTGCAGAGTCCTTGATGGCCAGGTGTGTGCGCGTGTGCGCCTACTCAGTTGATGAGAACCATCTGAGAGAGCAGGCCTGTGACTCAGACCAGCAGAGCTGCTGCCCTGCCCTTCTGCTTTAGTTTTGTTTGTGTGTGTACCTGTGGAGGCCAGAGGTCAGCCGCAGGAGCTAGCCACCTTCTTCTATTCTGTAAAAATAGAATGTGTGTGTGTGTGTGTGCGTGCGTGTGTGTGTGCGCGCGCACGCGCGTGCACAAGTGTTAGCATGGATGGATGGATGGATGTGCGCCATGTTGCATGACTGACACACAGGGAACCAGAAAGAATCGAAGGAGTCTTTGGGTCACCTGGGAATGAATTTCCAGGTGGTTGTGAGCCACCGTGTGGGTGTGGGAATAGAACCTGAGCTTTGGAAGAGCAACTAATGCTTTTAATGGCTGAGCCATCTCTCCAGTTCTCTTACTCACCTTTCTAATGGCTTGATTTCCTCATCAGCATGTCCCTGAGTTTATGAGTCATTCTGTTAAAATTAACTTCCTAGGTCAAGCCAGAGCCATAACCTGATTAAAAAAACAAAACAAACAAAGAAAAAACTGGTCATTGTGTCCAGTTCTGAATTCTTGGGTTGGAGAGGGAGCTCACAGGGTATTACTATGTAGCCCTGGTTGGTCTGGAACTCACTGGACCAGGCTAGCCTTGGACTCCTGGTTTTATTACCTCTAATTCCAGAGTGCCAAGATTGCAACTGTATATCACCGTGCCCAGTCTATGAAATCCTTGGGGTTGCACATACTAGACAATCACTCAGCCAGTTGCCCATGTCAACAGCCCTCTACTTTAGTCTCTTAGACCAAGTGATCAAGAAATAACTTATTCTTGAACCAAAACAAAAATTACTTAATCCAAATTTCTGTATAGCTAAGTAAGGTATACTTCTTACTTTCTGGAAGCAGGGTCTTGGTACTAGCAAGTTAATTCTCGGTAGTCCCTAGTCCCCCAATTCCGGCTTGTATAAATGGCTTTCCAAGGACCTGGCAGTGGAGGGAGTCCCTGGAACACAACTGAAGCAGCTTCAGGACCTCTGTTGCTGGTGATCGTGTCCTGACTGCTGTGGCATAATGTTCTTGCACACTGCAAAGATTTGCTGCTCATATTGGTTTAATTAAATGCTGATTGGCCAGTAGCCAGGCAGAAAGTATAGGCAGACCAACCAGACTAGGAGAATTCTGGGAAGAGGAAAGGCAGAGAGTCAGTCACCAGCCAGACACAGGAAGAGGTAAGAATGCCTTACGGAGAAAAGGTACCAAGCCACATGACTAAACATATATAAGAATTATGAGTTAATTTAAGTTGTAAGAGCTAGTTAGTAATAAACCTGAGCAATAGGCCAACCAGTTTATAACTAATATAAGCCTCTTTTTGTTTATTTGGGACTGAGTGACTGTGAGACCAGGCAGGACAGAAACTTCTGTGTTCACCTGACCTCCGTGAATGTCTTGTTTCATGGCTTATGGCTCTCTTAGCAGTGTTTGAGCTGTGTGTCAGCTCAGTTTCCTGGCTGTGGGTTTGTGCTTCCCAATTGGTAAACATTTCATACCACTATCCTCAGGTGTCAGAGTCTAACCAGGAGTCGTGGTGTGTGTGTGAGAGAGTGTGAGTGTGCGTGCATGTGTGTGCATGTACCTGTGTGCGTGTGTTGGGGAAATGTTGGCTGTGAACGCACATTAGATGCCACCAGAGACTATAGACAATGCCTGTCTCGCAGAATCCTAATAGCAATTGTTCCTTCCACTTAAACATGCAGAAAATACTTAATTCTCTCCAGCTATGCAGAGAAGGAATTCACAAGCCCTTAAGTTTACCCTGCGCTGTACTGAAGGCAGTCACCACCTTCAGAATATCCCCACCTCACTCTTCCTCCTCTTACCTCCAGGTAGCCACTCTTGGCTGTAGAGAATCAGGCCTAAATCCCAGCATGCTCTGCTTCTGTAATCCTTCTGCAAACCACCTCAGCAGAGCCATCTGCAGAGCTTGAGTCACACCTCTAGGCCCAGAGCCTGGGCACGGTGTCTTCAGTAAGGACCCAGCAGGACACAAGTCTTCATCTCTTTTCTGTAGACTTAAAACCCCTCAGGAAACTCTGGAAATCTGTCACCGTTTCTATGTCCACTTTATCACTTTTCCTTCTCTTTCTTTTCTGTGCATGTGTGTTTTAAAACATACATGATACTTAGGAGGCACAAACAGGAGGATTGCCACAAACTCAGGGTCAGCCTGGTCTATGTAGTAAGCTCCAGGCTAGACAGGACTACATCGAAAGACTATTTCATCCCATCCCTTCCTAAACAGTGTACACACAGATACAGCACAGCATAAAATCTATCATCTGGCTGCATGGTATAGTGGTACATTCTTGTACGTCCAGAACTGAGGAGGCTGCTGAGGCAGGAGGATCACAGTTTTAAAGGCAGTGTGGGCTACATGGTGAGATCTTATGGCCACAAAAGATGGTTAAAAAAAAATGACTACTTTAATTGTTCCATTTAAAAAATAGTTGTATTTATTCTTAGAACATTTCATGCATACATATGTATATATGTTCATGCACACACATATATATACATATATATATTTATTTATAGTCTTGATCATATCCATTCCCCTTTCACATCCCTCTGCCCTCTGCTAGCTGCCCCCTTCCCGACTTTAAGTTCTTTCTACCTCTTTAAACATTTGAAAGTATGGCTCAGTAGTGTTAGGCAGACATGTTGTCCACTGTTAGTGTCTGAACGTTCCCTCTTCCAACCGCCCTACCCCAGACAATGACTGAAGTGGGTTCCTGTAGACATCTGGAGTCTCCTAGTGTTTGTCATTTTGTGACTGGCTTATTTCACTCAGTGTCTGTCAGAATCTCCTTCCCTTTTAGGCTGAGCTGTGGTTGACCAGGCAACTACAGTGCATTTATCCTTTTGTCCTTGGGAGCCACCTTTATGAGCTTAGGTTCTGGGGTACTCACTCCAACCCCAATTCTCATGTGTTGACGTCAGCAAGCGTTCCTTTGTGAGTTCACTGAATAGCGTTACCTTCCTCCATCAGTTGCCGTGCAGACGGTGTATGTGCAGCAGCCTGTCTCCTTTTTCGACCGCCCTGTCCAGATGTGCTGTCCGTCCTGCAGCAAGATGATCGTGACCCAGCTGTCCTACAATGCCGGCGCCCTCACCTGGCTGTCCTGTGGCAGTCTGTGTCTACTGGGGTGAGTGTACCCACTCTGCGGAGATTGTATTCAGACTGGGCTGTCCTGTGCATTGGAGGAGTGTGTGTGTGTGAGTAGAAAGGCCAAGGTTAGCTGTTTGTCTGTCTATTAAGACAATCTCACTCCTCTACAATCCCAACCCCAGGTTCCTCACTACCTCACAGATAATTTTTAAAATGACTTCCCTTTTTATTCTTTCTTTTGTGTGTGTGTGTGTACGCGTGTGTGTGCACGTGTGTGTTTGTGTGTATGTGCATTTGTGTGTATGTGTGCATGTGTGTGTGTACACGTGTGTGTGCGTGCATGTGTTCATGGACGTATACCATGGTATACATGTCGAGGTCGGAGGACAACTTTCAGTGGTCATTTCTTTCCTTTCCCCATGTGGTTCATGGGAACTGAGCTCAGGTCCTCATGCTTGCAAGGCAAGTTCCCCACTGACTGAGTTATCCCCAGATACCTGTAGGAATTGTCCTCCTTCTGTTTTTAGGGGACTCAGCATGCTAGGTTAGTTCCCTGTCTGCACCCTCAGCCTGTTTTAGGATGTGTAAAGCTGAGCACGGTGGCATATCCTGTAATTCCAGCACCAACAGGAGGAGGTGAAGGATGGTTGTCTCAATAACACAAAACAGGGCTGTCAAGGTGGCTCAGCGGGTGAGGGTGCTTACCACCAACCCTCACGATCTGGGTTTGATCCCCAGAGCCCACATAGACAGACCTGACTCCCAAAAGTTGTCCCCTGAATTCCAACTTTTGCACCATGACACAGGTATTCACATATACACAATGAACGAATGAATGAATGAATGAATGAATGTCAGAATTAAAAATGAAAGCCTGGAGCAGCACAGCTGGGCTCAGCTTTCTAGAAGTTCACAGCACCTCCTCCCCACAGGGCAGCCACCAGAAGTTACCCCTGCCCCCAGCTGGGAACTCTGCTCAAACACTCATGGAAATCGCCGGATGTGTTCATGTAGAGACTGCTGAACAGCTGTTCACATCTGTGGAGGGCGGGGCCCTTGGGCTTCTTTCCCTTCTAGAATTTCATGACCTAAATAATAATTTTTGCATGACCCCGAGAGAGGCTCCAAACATTTCATGCACTAACACACTTTATAGGCCTCTCGTCTGCCGTGCCTCTCCCTTACAACCTCTGGGATTTCCCATTGCCAGAGCAGGGAATTACATAAATATTTATGTCTGCACTAAAAGCAATGCTAGTCTCTACTCTGGCAGAGAAATCTGAGCAAAAGCAAATACATGGTTTTCCTAAAGCAGGTAATAGCAGGCACCTCACCCTTTCTGGCCTGTGCGTCACCTAGAAAGCCGCTGCTGCATGCATTCGCCTGGAAGAGCAGGGACCTCAGCTGCTAGGTGACTGGCGCACATCTCCTCACTTTCTGCTTGTGACTCTGGGTGGAGAGAGCCCTCGGGCCTCTGTTCTCTGTGGAAGAAGTGGGCTATGTAGGCCTGTCCACCCATCCTTCTCTGACTTGCCTGTTCAGCTCTACTGTGGGCTCTTACTTCCACCCTCTGGGCAGAAAAGGCTCCAGTGACCAGGTCCGCCATTCCTGTGCTCAGGGGTGATGCAGGGGGATCACCAGCTCAGGGCCTGCCTGAGTGAGGGAACGAGGGCTTTGTGCCATTTACCAGGGCGCTACAGCCCCAGAATGTTCCTCCTAACTTTTTTTTTTTAGTGTTGGTGCTAAAGCCAGCCCTCCTGTATTCTGGGCAAGCGCTCTACCACTGAGCTACATCCTGAGTGCTGGAGTTTTGTTGCTTTTTGAGTCTCATTGTGTAGCCAGGCTGACTCCTGCCTCTGTCTTTCTGGCGATAGGATGGCGGGTGTGTAGCACCATGCTTGGCTCGGCCACATGTCGTAGTTGTAGGAGAGGATACTGTGTTTGAGTTAGGGGCCCACCTCAAGTTTCCAGGGTGGTCCTGTGTCAAGATAGTTAATTACTTTTGCAAAGACCCTCTCCCTTCCTTTTTGAGTCAGGGTCTCATATATCTAAGGCTGGCCTCCAACTCACCAGGTAGTCAACAATGACCTTGAACTTCTGCTTGTCCTGCCTCCATCTCCTGAGTGTTGGGGTTATAGGCTTGCACACCTGATATTGGGGATTAGACGCTGGGCTTTGTGCCTCCAGGGACAGATTCTACCAGCTCAGGTCTTCAGCTCCATACCAGCCCACCACAGACCCTTCAGGAGGCTCCAGCACGGGGGTATGAGCCCATCCATGTTCTTGGTGTTGGTAACATGCTCCTTATGTGTATCTGTCCTCCCAGGTGCATCGCTGGCTGCTGCTTCATCCCATTCTGCGTAGATGCCCTGCAAGATGTGGACCATTACTGCCCCAACTGCAAAGCACTCCTGGGCACCTACAAGCGCTTGTAGGACTTGGCCAGCCAGCCATAGGGGAGATGGTAGATACATGTTACCGGAAGTCACCTGACCCTTGCCCAGCCCACCCAGAAGAGACACCTTCCTTGATTTCATCTCTTCTTGGGCTCCAGCGTCATGTCTTTTGGTGGGTGGGAAAGGTCAAAAAAGTGACAAGCCTCCAAACCCCAGAAATTGCTGCTTGGAATCACACCCTGCACAAGCAAAGACATGGACCTTGATGTTTCAAGGGCTTATTGCCTGCCCAAGTCACCCCACTAACTGTGATTATTACCCCGTTTACCTCTCCACTGATTTGCCATTCGCTGCCTCCTCTTCCTCCTCAGTGGACTTTCCTGGTGGCGGTCTCAAACCCGGAAGCCAGTTTGCCTTACTTTCCGCTGTCTGGCCTGATTTCTTCTGTCTCTCCCCATCCCTGATGGCAAAGACCTCGCCTTAAAGACTTTGTGGTTCTGTAATCGCAGGCTCTCTGGCCCTCAGAATCGCTTTAACTTCCTAGGTTTTTGTTTTGTTTGCTGAGTGCACAGAAGGGCTGCTGACACCCACCAGACACATATGGAGAAGGTCACAAGTTCAAAATAAAACGAGCAGTCAGGCTGGGTTTAATCGCATCTCCTCCTGCCTCAGCCCCACTCGTGGGCGCAGGCATCTTCTTCCTCGTGGTTTCTGCGAATTTTTGTTCTTAAAACACGTGGGAGTTCCTTGGCAGGGAGACCTTTCTAGAATAACTTTTGTGATCATAATACACCCTTCATTTTTCCATTTGCTGGTGTGTTTTTGGTTGGTTTTGTTTTCGTTTTTGATGTACAGTCTGGCTTTGTTGCCCAATTCAGCTTTGACCTCCTAGCTGATCCTTCAGTCTTTGCCTCTCAAATACCCAGAGCTCTAGACGCACGCCACTGCACCTACTGGGTTTGTTTTCCTTTTAAAAAAAATAGGTGATCTCATCTACTACCTACCTGGACTTGGTGTGGTTTTGAAAACCTCTTCTCTGTGGGGCCTCTCTGCGGGAATGAGGGTGTCCCTATTTGAGCCCATGCTCCAGTGCTGAGAGCCTAAACTCCCTCAAGAAAACCTGAAGCTTGATTTTATTTTTTAGAGATGATCTTGTTGTGTGGCACCAGCATGGTCTTCAGTATCAGCGGACCAGATGGGAGGACACCAAAGACAAGTCAGGGCTCCTTCTAGGGTGACCACTGTGTCTGGCCCAGTCCAGCCAGTGTCCATCCTAAACCCACGCAGGAACTGCTGCAAACAATAGTGTGTGAAGTCAGCCTGACCCCGAACTGCATGGTGGTTAACATACAGTCTTAACCATTGTCTGAGCTGTTCATGCAGTGATCCAGAAACGCTGGCCATCATTTTTGCCGTGAATTGTGGGTACCATATATAACTTTGGTGTTATCTACTTTTAAACAAATAAAATGTTGGTCACTCGGTGAGCTATTCAGTTCACCTACTATGAAGAAGGGCCTTGTGTTGTGTTTCCAGGCATTGCCCAAAGAATCTCGAGTTGCTCTGTTACTCTAGAAAATCCTTCGTGACCCACACCTCAGGCTTGCTGAATATTCAGCCACCGCAAGATGACCGTTGCTAACGAGTGGCATTTGAAGGTTTGGCTGTGGGGAGCCCACAGGCGTCATCGATGGCAGCAAGCCACGGCTTTCAAGTTTTAATAAAATGCCAAGGAGGAAGCTGTTCTCATTCATTCTCTGAACAAAACCGTCCTTGTTCGTTGACCGGGGTGGCTGTGGGATGCTGGGAGGGGGGTGCCAAGCGAGGAGTGCGGGGGCCACCCCTTCCTTTCTTCTACCTGTGGTGACAGCTTCAAGTTGGAAGGTGTTGGGGGGATCGAGTCATTTAGTTGTGGCTTACATTGCCATCGAAACCCTATTTGTGTTCTTGTGAAATCATTGCTCATGGGATTTCAGTTGAGTGGTTTTCTTTTATTTGGTCAAGTTCGGCACTGTGCAGTTAGCAGTTTGGCTGTCATTGTGATGTGTAACTGATCACAGGCTGGTACTAATTACACATGCAGTCTTCCAAACAAGGACCCTGTGTCAAGGACTATAAAATACACAAGGACTATAAAATACGGAGCTTACTGCCAGATGCTACAGACTTCGTCTAGGCTAGCCAGCCCCTGAGATCCAGAGGTCCACATAGGTAGCCTCTGCTTCTTGGCTGACACAGTCACCATACAGCCTAGGCTTCCTCTTGCCACAATCAGGATGGAGTCTGGACAAAGACAAGAAAAAGGACAGCATGACTGCTCCTAGGTGTGGTGGGGGTCGAGGTTACAGCTGTGTGGGAGAGCATAGCCAGAGGCAGGGACATCTGGGAGGGTCCAGAGTGCACCTGACCCTGAGCTGCCTGAGGAGTCGGGGAGGGGACGGGAGCCAAGGGGACCAGGTGCAGCATCCAGGAGGCCCAAAGAGTAGACAGGAGGGACTAGGTAACCAAAATGCCTGGACTATATAGGGAAGGACAGCCCAGCCCTGGGTCGCAGACTTCAGGGCAGAGAGTGGAGTATACCAGCCACACGCGGTAACAGCTGGGGGGCTCTGGGATGCTGGGATATGTTCAGTAGGCACTTCAGCCTTGTGTGTGAGACCTAACAGGACCTGTGTGGAGATTCTGCAGAGACTCCAAGAAGGGGCTTTGAACTCAATTGTCCTCAGTGTTCACTGCCTTGCCTTCATATATGGAGAGGTGGGTATTTCCTGGTCAGTCTATTGGTGGAGAAGAGAGACCAAATGAAGCCATGGCCACAGCCAGGAGGTCGAGGCAGGAAGCCTTGTTGACTGTGGCTTCCAGGCATTTTCTGTTCTTAGACCACTGCCCTAGGCATGCACGGCTGTGTGGGTGTGAAAGCCTCTTTCTGAGGGTGCCATCACGTGACCTCCGCTGTTTCCTTCCTTGTTCTCTCCTGCCTATCTTCCCTTACTACTGGGGATGGAACACAGGGCCTTACCCACCCCAGATAAGCACTTTGTACAGTCCTAAACCAGACTACTGAAGTCCAGGGGAGCTCTGCCGCACTGTACAGAAGGCTCCCCTAGCTGGGTGGGTTGACTACCCTCACCCCCTGGAGGGGAAGGAAGGGTCATGGGACCTTCGCCTGATGGTCACTCCCTACCTCCTGTTGTTGCCTCGGGGAGTTCTGGAGACCCAAAAAGACTAGGGGAGGGGTGTCCCCCCAATGTTCCTATGGGAAAAACCTCCCCCTGTGTAGTAATGACTTCCTGTTGCACCCTTATGGGGAGGAGCACCCACACCCTTGTAGGAGGCCCCCACCTGTGTCATAAGGAGTCTAGTAAACTCACATTGGAGTCCCGCCTTGATTTATCGTTTTGATCTTGGGAGCAGAGGTAGACCTTGCTTATGTCCTCACTAAAAGGATTTCATTTATATGGTGACATCTCAGGCCCTTGATTTGACCATTTATTGGTTTTTCTGTTTTGCTTTTGAACTGGATTGTGGCACAAAATTCAAGATGGCAGAGAGCTCTGGGAGGAGCTTTTAACCTTACCCCTCCCATAACCCCAGTGCCGGGACCTTACCCCTCCCATAACCCCAGTGCCGGGACCTTACCCCCTCCCATAACCCCAGTACCGGGACCTTACCCCTCCCATAACCCCACTACTGGGTCCTTACCC